TGTATGTATGCATGGATGATATATGGACGTATATATGGATGTATGTAATGATGGATGATCTATGGATGTATATATGGATGGATGATGGATGGTTGGATGGATGTATTTATGGATGATGTATGTATGGATGTATGTATGTGTGGATGGATGATATATGGATGTTTGTACATAGGGATGTATGTAATGATGGACGATCTATGGATGTATATATGTATGGATGGATGGATGGACGATGGATGGATGGTTGGATGTATGTATGCATGTATGGATGGATGAAGTATGGATGTATGGGTGGACGGATAACTGTTGGAGTCAGTCTCCCCACCATCACAGACATCTACACCTCCAGATGCAGGAAGATGGCCACCTGCATCATGAAGGACCACACTCACCCAGCACACACACTTTTTGCCCCACTCCCCTCAGGAAGGAGGTTGAGGAGCATTGAGTGTATTTTTATATGTATGTATGTGTGGATGGATGATGTATGGATGTTTGTATGTATGGATGTATGATGGATGAAACCAGGTTTGTGCTGAATGAGGCGTTGTTACTAAACTTCTCTGTATTTTCACAAGGACACGTTCGTCACGTTTGTGATCTCGTTTCGATCGTGTTACTTTCTGTTGTTTATATTTTTTCAGTCAGGAATCTGTTAATTATTTTTTTTAAGTTCTTTTTTAAATAAGTTTGAAATTTTCAACAAATCCAGATTTGTTTATAACATCAGCTGAATTTTATCAAAGCCTGTGATTATTAAAATGATAATCTATAATAAATATTAGTTCAAGCAGTGTGTGACGTTCAGAAACAAACACTTTGTGATTATTGATTTTTTATGACGTCAGTAAAATGTTTTGTTTGAACCAAACTTGTCTGCTCATTGTTCTGCAGCCACGTTGATCTGAAGTTATAATAAAGCTATTTTTATGAGTTTACATCAGTGATTAATCTCACCTGCTGCCCCCGCTGACAGGGGGGGGCGGGTTTCGGTTGGGGGTGTATGTTTCTCGGCCTTGGCTTATCGGGCGATGACCCCGAACGTCCACGTCGGTTCCCGCCGCCGCCTTTTAAAACAAATATATTTATTTAAAGCACAGAAAATTCATAACTTGAAACAGACTTATTCTTCTTACCGTTCTGTTTGATGAAGACTTGGTGTCCTGCAGAGAAAAGCATAAAATATTTCATATAAATTAGATGTTTTTGGTTTATTATGTTTTGTTTTTTAACCTGTCTTTACCGCTGCAGGTCATAAAAATAAACCTTTAGAGAAAATTAAACATTTATAATTGATTTATTGACAAGAAGCTGATATTTGGTCTACAAATGTTCCGGATGTTTTACAGAAATACAAAATCGGTTAAAAAAAATTAAAGAATTGAAAATAAAATCAATAAAATTTCCCTAAAATCAATTGAAGGTTTTATTATACTTAAGACTAAAAAATTAAACATTTGAATATTTTATGAATTTAAATTTCATTAATTTTGTTGCAAACTGGGGTTAAGCGAAAATAAATATCCATCCATCCATCCATTATCTTTACCCGTTTATTCCATTTTGGGTCACGGGGGTCGCTGGTGCCCATGTCCATCAATCACTGTGCGAGGGGCGGGGGACACCCTGGACAGGTCTCCAGTCCATCACAGGGACACATAGAGACAAACGAGACAAACAACCATTCACTCTCTCATTCACACCTAGGGACAATTTAGAGTTACCAATCAGCCTAACATGCATGTTTTTGGTCTGTGGGAGGAAACCGGAGAACCCGGAGAAAACCCACGCATGCACGGAGAGAACATGCAAACTCCACCCAGAAAGGCCCCTGGACCGGGGTTTGAACCAGGGACCTGCTCGCTGAGAGGCAGCAGCTCTACCAGTTGCACCACCGTGCTGCCCGAAAATAAATACAATTGAATAAATATTTAAATTATTTATAAATAAATAACTGTTGATTTAAATCAAAACCACATTTTTTCATTTAAAATTTTAAAATTTGAAATAAAATGTCTTTTCACTTCATTGCTTTAAAAAACATAATATTTTTGTAAACGGTCAACTTTAAAATACTTTTTACACTTCAATCAACCTTTATTTCTACAGGTAAATCCCATTGAGCCTCGAGGACTCATTTACAAGAGAGACCTGATTTCAACAAAGAAAGATGACAACAATGGACAACAGCAACAACAATAAACAGTTATAAAAAGTCATACTGCAGTTTTTTTTTTTTAACAAATAGGATGGCTAAAAGGAAAAGGTAACAACAACAAAACAAAAAAAAACCAGCTAGATTCTAAGACAAATGTAGAAAACTAACAACAGGAACATGTCTGCATTGGTCCCTGCCAGGAGTCCAACAGATTCTTAAACACACTTAGAGAGGTCAAAGGTCGAGAGCTTCAAATCTTTTTGTAAGATATTTATACACTTTTTTATTTTATACACTTTTAAGTCAATTGAATTTTATTTCAACATAAATCAGTTTTATTAATTTTTAAAATCTCTTCATGAGTTTATAAAACCAAAGATTGGAGTTTAAATTTGAACTTTTGTGTTTTAAACAACTCAAAGCAGTTTTTGTTTGTTTGTTTAAATCTCACCTGGAAGCTCCAAAACATTAAAACTAAATAATAAACACGTTTAATTTATCCTAACAAAGTAATTAAAGACGTAAAACATTTCATTCTGACCTGTCTTGTGTCAGAAATGATCAATAATAAATGATAATAAATAATTAATAAATAATCTGAAATAATTTTGTCAGGATTTGATTTTGGAGAATGTCTCACCAAGTCGTAGTCGTCGTACTCCAGGACCTCCTGGGCCCAGGAGACGTGAACACACAGAACCAGAACCAGCAGCAGCGTCTTCATTGTCAGCACTCCTCTTCCTCGTCTCTGAGCCTGCGGGGGGTTTTATCCTCCAGAGCCCCCTCCTGACCAGATGGACCTGCTGGAGTCCACCAAGGCCTGCCGGGATGTCTGAGTCAGTGTCCTCAATCAGGGGACACGAGGACAGAGGAGTTTGTTTGACAGATGTGTTGAAAGCAGCTGATTTACCGTCAGACAAACATTTGAACTGAACTGCTGAGTCCGTCTTGAAGTCCAAGCAAGATCAAAATCAGAGAAAATATTTTTAACTGAGTTTTATTCTCATTTCATTTATTTATTTCTATAGAGATTTACACAACCACGGTGATGGTGACCAAAGTGCTTAACAAAACCAGTGCAAGCGGCTCCACATGACGGTTATCTAAAGTTCTACATCGGAGCTACTTTTCTTATTTAGTCAAAAGCAAACCAGAGAAAATGTTCCATAAAAACCTTGAAAAGAAGTTTTACATGTTGATGGACAGAGTCTGAAACAAACACTGATCTGTCTGATGAACTTCCCTTGAACTCGTCAGAATCAGGCCGGCCGTCTTACGAGCAGGTTAAAGTCATCTGGAGGCATGACCTCCATGTTGGCTCCATCGAGGCGTGGCAAAGGTCACCACAGAGAATTGGGCTGCCACGTCAAAATCCAAGATGGCTGCCACTGCTATCATTTTAAGGAACTATGCTTTCTAATTTTAAAACTGCTTCAATGTCTATTAAATGACTGGGGTGGCTGAAGATTAATCTTAAGGGGCTAAGGCCAACATTAGCCCCCACTCCTCCTCTGCTCCTGGTGGATGAAATGTCTCCTTCTCTCCAGGATTGGTCCATCAGAAGTAAACACCTCCCGCTGGTCTCCTCCTTGTGAACATTTTGCAGTAAAAACATTTAGGTTTACTTCATAAAAACACTTGTCTCCACTCATCGTCCAAATCCCCCGGAGACGGAGGACGTCGGCGTCCCTCTTGTTGTACTGAATAATCTTTGGTGGGCTTTGGCGGCCATCTTGAAGGAGAACCAGTTGTTGCTTTCTGTTCAGTGGTTCATGAAATATTTTGCTAACAGACCTGATCTCCCGCCTGTCATGGCGGTGGGCGGTGATAGTCGACATGTGGACCAGGAGCTTCCTGTTGGACAGGAAGTCCGTGTATGAAGCCCAGCCTCCGGGACAGAACCTGCCGAAGAACCGGTACCAGAAACGCAGACTTTAAAACCACTGGCAGGCGCTACGGAGCAACAAGCTCAGTTCATTATACTTTCAGTCTGTCTGTTAATAAAATATCTCATGGACCGCCAGGACGACTTTATTAAAGCTTGCAGGAAGTGAGGGGTCATGCAAATCTACAAGTTTTACATGTTTTTGTTTGTTTTATATGAATTATTTGTTACAAAATAAACTGAGCTAACAGTTGTTTTTGATGTCAACGTTAAATTAAATTGTCTTCAAATAAAAACAAACTTCAGTTCCTGCTGGGAGACGAGAACATTAGAGGGACATATGACTGTTTGGGTCCAAAAGGGTCAAAGTTCTGTTTAATGAAATCATCCGTGCAAACGCCCACGACCTGCTCCACTTCACTAGCCGCCCATTATTTATCTTGGTTTGTTTTTTAAGCTCCGTTCAGTCAGACCTGCAGAAAACGACAGAACGGGTCAAACTGGACTTTAATTTGTTGAGTAAACACATTTTACCAGTAAAAACCTGATTCACAGCATTTATTCACAGCTGACGCCTCCTGGAATCTGAGAACTCAGAGGAAAGAAGACTCAGGAACCGGTTCTTCAGAACGTGTCGTTGAAATCACAATGATCCAGATATTGAAACCCTTTTTTGCTGTCCAGGATCACACAAATACGTTTTACCTTCATCCCAGTTTAAAGAAAAGTTGGGATGGATCAATCTCATCCAATCCAACTTTTCAAGATGACCCAATCCAGATAACAAATCCATCCAACATTTTTCAGTCAGGTCATCTGGACAGTTTGTTTTTTTGTGCTGAAATGTTTCGCCTTCGATCCAGAAGGCTTCATCAGTCAAAGAAACACACAACAAAACTGGTTCTTCCTCATCTTATCACAAGCAGAACTGGTTTGTTCCATTTTGGAGTAAGCTGTTGGAGGAAGAATCAGTTTTGTTGTGCGTTTCCTTGACTGATGAAGCCTTCTGGATGGAAGGTGAAACGTTTCAGCACAAAAAGAAACTGTCCAGATGACCTGACTGAAAAATGTTGAATTGTATAACTGGATTGTTGAGCATGGACCTGTTTTCTTTTTTTTTTCATAATGTAATGATTAAGCTTCAACTTTTAATTTGCTGGCAAAGTCTGAAGACACTGCATGTAGGGATGGCGCCATCTAGTGGGCCTTCCCCTGTATGTTCTCCCTTGTGTCTCTGCTTTGATTGTCTGATTATCATCACCTGTGCCATGTCCTGTTTGTGTATATAAAGTCTGTCTGTTAGTCCTGTCATTGTCAGTTCGTCGTTGGGTATTGGCTTGTCTTGTTCTGCCAGTCTGATCCTGTTTTGAACTCGTCTTGAATCTGGTTTGTAAGTTTGCTGCCATGTCAGCCTTTTGATTTATTATTATTAAAAGTATTTTATTTTCTTACGAGTCTCCTGAGTCCTGCCTGCGCAACTGGGTTCTCCTGTCCTGATCTGCCTTGAAACCCTGACACTGCAGATATGGCAGGATGAATTGCATTTAAACAGGAATTAAAGTAATTTATTACATCTACTCAAATGTGTGTAATTAAGTATTTTATATGTTTGTGTGTGTATTTAATTGCTCTTATCTACTTTTGCCTGAACCTAACACTGTAAGTGAAACAAGGCATTTCTTGAGTTGCTGTAAATTATGATATAAAACATATTTACTGTCTCATTCCAGAAAACAACAACAAACAACAACATCCTTCATGATGGACAGACATCATGGACACCACAGCAGCAGCTGTCTTCACTGAAACATCTTTAAATGATCATCACTGACATGAGGCCTCTGTCCATGGTTGAAGACGAAGGCTTCACTACAATGATCCACACTTTTAATCCAGGTTACACTCTTCCCTCAAGGACCCATTTTACAAAGAAGCTACATATTGTGCAGGTATAAAGTATACATTTGTGTGTGTGTGTGTGTGTGTGTGTGTGTGTGTGTGTGTGTGTGTGT